GGCGCCACAGACAGCTCCTGGTGGAGAACACTGGCCGACTGATCTGCTTTTTGTTTGTTGTTTTCTTTTAGGCGTGCCAGCCATGCCAGATCTTATTGGGCATCGGGCAGGTATGTCATATCACAGCCTCGCGGATTTGGTTTTTTTGTTAGCATTAGTAGGCAGTTTTACGGAACAACGCGTAACGTCGCGTGTACATAACGGCATTGGCGGGACAGTGTTCGGAATAATTATTCTACCGGGGTCATAACCCTCGAAGTGATCTTCTCTTGCACCCCCAAACTTCCCAAAGCCACACGCCAAAGTGCTGCCCTATAGCACACGTGACAACCCTGCCTGCCGCGCCTGCAGACGAGTGGCCGCTGAACGCCGCCTGGTGCAACTTCTACGTCACGTGCGACGTGCTGGCCTGCACGGCGTCCATCTGGCACATGAGCTTCATCTCGCTGGGCCGCTACCTGGGCATCCGGGACCCGCTCAAGAACCAGCCGCGCAACACCACGCGCCAGGTGGTGACGCGCGTGGTGCTGGTCTGGCTGCTGTCGCTCGGCATCTCCAGCATCGTCACCATCCTCGGCATCGTCAATCTGGACAACATCATGCCCAGTCCCAAGGTAAAGGGTGCCTGCGTGCTGAGGGTGGTGTTATTGGGTCGGAGGTGCTCGGGATTGAAGGTGCGACTCAGTGGGGAGGGGACGAATGGGGAGCGGTGAACCCGTTCGGGGATTGGGAGCGTCGGGATTGGGATTGGTACTTGGTGAGGCCTAGTGAGGATCAGGGTCCCGCCGTGGTGAAAGACTCTGGCAGAAAACGAATTCGCTAGCACCCTTCTCTTACACGCAAATGGCGCTTAGACACGGCTGTGGATGATTGATACTCAAAGCTTCCTCTTCGAACAAAATGTTTATTGTACATAAATAAATGTATGATTATGAGGAGGGTCATCCCGTTGCAAATGTATGATTATGAGGAGAGTCATCCCGTTGCAAATGTATGATTATGAGGAGGGTCATCCCGTTGCAAATGTATGATTATGAGGAGAGTCATCCCGTTGCATCCGGGAGGGTCATCCCGTTGCAAATGATAAACTTGTCTGTCACGTTTGGAGGAGTCTATGAAGCATCAAAAGTCCATGACGTCTGCTTCGCGCATTCAGACAATCTGTCTGAATCCGCGAAACCTCCATCACGTACTAGAAACCTTTGAATATGAAGTTGACTACAAAGCCCTTCGCGTGCTGTCGTCATGCGGAAGCGTCGCCGTCCTACGTGCTCCTCCCATCAAAAAGGCCCCTGTCCGGTTCCAGGTGTGCGCCATCAACAACCGCATGTTCTTCGTGCTGGGCAGCTTGCTGGCCTTCTTCATCCCGATGATCATCATGGTGATCACTTACTCGCTGACGACTCTGCTGCTGCGCCGCAAGTGTCGCTCGGGCGCCACGCTGCGCCACCGCCACGTGGGGCGCAGTCTGGCGCGGCCGGAGCGCGGCGCGAGCGACGGCCGCCGCGAGGGCGGCGAGCACCGCCTCGCCTCCTTCCCGAACGGGCTCGGCTGCCGCGTCAGCACGCGCGATGTGGGCGTCCAGACGCCGCACAACATCAGCCGCGAGACGCGACGCGGCCGTCTGACGCTGCGCCTGGCGGCGGCGGAGCTACCTCGCCGCCCGCCGGCCGCGCCCAGCACAGCGCTCACCGCCGAGAAGAAGGCGTCCAAGGTGCTCGGCCTCGTCTTCCTCGCGTTCGTCGTTTGTTGGGCGCCGTTCTTCACGCTGAACATCAGCAACGGCATCTCCAACAGCATCTACGTCAACCCGTACGTGGAGGCGGTGTTCCTGTGGCTCGGCTACGTCTCCTCCACCATCAACCCAATCATCTACACGAGCGTCAACAAGACGTTCCGCGCGGCGTTCCTGAAGCTGCTGCGCTGCGGCTGCCGACAGTTTCAGCAGGGCCGCCAGTACCGGGCCTACAGCCTCAACGACACGGGCGCCACCACGACGCCGCTCTCGAAGCCGCCGTCGACTCACTTCCGCGCGCCGAGCCTCTCGCAGACGCGCTGCGTCGAGCCGCTGCAGCGGCCTGGGCTCGCCTTTAAGTCACAGTCCATCTGCTAGTGAGGCGGCTCTGCCGGGCTGCCGTCGCGAGCCTGGTGATGATCGGGTGGTGACGCGAGACTGGTGGTGGCCAGCCGTGAACGCGGGGTTGGTGATGATCGGGTGGTGACGCGGGACTGGTGATGACCGCCGTGAACGCGGGGCTGGTGATGACCGGGTGGTGAGGATCGGGTGGTGACGCGAGACTGGTGATGGCCAGTCGTGAACGCGGGGCTGGTGATGATCAGGTGGTGACGCGGAATTAGTGATGGCCAGCCGTGAACGCGGGACTGGTGATAATGAGATGGTGACACAGGGCTGGTGATGATGGGATGTTGATGCGGGGCTGGTGTTGATCAGCTGGTGATGTGGGGGCGATGGTGACTGTCGGTGGGCTGGTGATGACCGTCTGCTGACGTGGGACTGAGGCCAACATTCCAGTGACGAGTGGCTGACATTGATTGGCTCGTGACCGGGCTTGACAGCGATCAGCTGGTGACGCCAGACTGGTGTTGACAAGTGGTGACATCGCGTTGGTGATAGTCTGCCGTTGACGCGGAATTGGTGTTAATGCGTTAGTAATGTGAGACCGCTGTTGGTCAGCTGGTGACACGGACTGCCGTCGATCAGTTGGTGACGTGTTGCTAACTTGTCCTCTCTCAGTGCTCAGTGTCGACCGACGGATCTACCCGCCTGGGTAGATCTACCTTCTACCTAGGTAGGTGGATCTACCTTCCCGGCCCTGCGCGGGTCCGCGTATGTCTGACCTGGCCTGTCACTGTCTGTCCGGTTCGTTCTCCCGCGCCGGCTTCGCATGCACAGCCGCCTCCGAGGTACAAAGGTTCGCTGGTGGACGCGGCTGTCAGTCGCGGTCCATTGCCGGTATTAGTCGTGTCGGAGTATGCTTCGTCACGCGGAATAGTCCGCGACCCGGGCTATGGTGTACTGTCGGCGGCCGATGGAAACCCACACGCTATGTTTACATGTGTTGCCCGCGTCCACCCGCCATGCAGCGTATATCGAGGCTCGTGCGATTGGAAGGGAATACCACTGTGACGTCCCCGCTGGCTGCTTGCCAGATAATGGCACGCATTGTCGGATACAAGGTTTACATTATGTGTGAGGGATTATATATCACGGACGCTGGTATGGGCCGGCCGTCAGCCTGGTTGCGCGAGCTGGTGCTAGATAAGTCTCGTTTCAGAATTAAACTCATGGAAGAGTCCGACACGCGTTGACATCCTTGAAATGTATGTATACACACACTTCCAAAAAAATACCCCTGGGGAAAATATGTATCCACATGAAATAATACAAACATGACATCTCCAAAGCCTAGTGAACTCGAAGCTTCCCTAGCAATGTTTTAAATAGCAACACAAATAGCTATACTTCATCTCCGTCAGCCAGCTACAACCCGTCTGTCAGTCAAACACAGTCGGTCTAAAAGGTTTTGCAATGATGCCGTCCTTCACCTACAACATGGACGTAAGCTTAGAACGCTGGCTGCATACACATCAAGCACAACATGCTAATTTTTACTGATCCTGTTTCCCTTCATGTTCAATTTACTGACAATAGCCTGAACAGTGTGATCAAATATTCTGTTATTTTATCAACAAGTCAACCACATGTTAATCCTTGCCCCGACACGGGCAGATTTGTTCGAAAAGATTTGAATCTTGCATTCGCTCACGAGGCAATCGCTTTGAGATGAAAAATGTTACTTTAAGCTATGAACTGAATCACATTTTTCGTAAATTTTATTAACTGAATCGTGAGTCGACCATTTCTAACAAAGTCGAGTCAATAAGTCATATGGCCGAAATTAGACTCGTAACATGAGAAAACAGCATGCCCCAGACAAATAAGCAGACCATTTGAGGATGTTAAAATGAACAGCATGCAGCATCAGTCATAAAGTGTTTTGCAAAATCAGCACAAAGTTTGTCATTGTAATTTCTAAGCAACAAGCACAACATGGATCATTCCTATCTCAGGTATACCAAATCTTAGCCAGAAACCAGACGATATTACATGGCGTAGACATCCCACATTCCCATATCCTGTGTTAAAACCAATGAAAGATTGCCTACTGCCTTGTCTGCTACATGGGACGGTCATATTTTTAAATGTCAATTGCCACAGCGCTGAACCAATCCACACCTGACCCCTCATTCACTGCATGACTAGGCGCAGGCCGCCAAGCTGTCTGGCTTAGTGCGGTCTAGTCTACATTGCATGCTATTTAACTTATGGCTCTTTAATTTTGGAACCCGCGTGAGTCATGAGCTGAATGATTCCATGCAAGCATGAGTCTGAACTGAGCTAAATAAAAAAAAACAATTGAACAACTATGAGTAATGAGATGGATTGGATCCCCAAATCGGTGAGCAGGGAGCCACTCCCTCCAAGATCTGCTGAGGATGCCTCTACGGTATGTCGTGCAATCACGCCAAATTTTCAGTGGCTTATGAGGCGTTCGTCGCGCGTGTTTCGATACCAAGTACGCGCCCCAGGCGTTTCTGGTCTCGGAGCAGCGGCGGTTTTGGTAGAACGCTGTGCGGCGATTTACGGCCTGCGCGGGCGGCAACCGACGATGCCGTGGAACGCGCGCATCAACGGAGCCATACGTCATAAAGATATGGTCAAAACATAGTAAACTATAGGCCATTTTACTCAGAACTGAACAAGACACACGGCTGTTGAAGTTTCGTATCACTACAAGGCATAATCTCGCACGGATTAGGCCATAAAGCTGAAAAGTGCGCTTTTCGCGAAACTTTGACATTTGACCTTGCATAATGGGGTCAATTTTTAATCTAGCCACATCCAAATTGCCACCAATCGTGAGATCTCGTTTAGATCAATCCAATGGTATCTTCCGCTAAGCTCTATCGTTCTAGTTTGAAAACGCCAGGAAGGCTCGCATCGACCACCCTGTCAGCCGGCCTTATGAAAAACAGCGCATCGGGGCGAGGGCGAAAGTGGCCGTTATGTTCTTGTTGGCGCTCGTGCGCCTTCTCAGAAGGAAGGCACGCGATTGTTAAAATGTTATGGCTAAGGTCCGGCTCGTTCTGGCCTCTAGCCTGCGTGAAACTGCGAATTGGCCAACAATTCCATATGCATTGGGATCACATCAGTGATTGCGCCAGTTTCATGTACCATTCAATCACTGAAACTTTTGGACATCTGCAATACCGACATAAGACTGATTCTGACAACCCGTGGCGAGGCAGGCAATGAGAATCTTGACACTGCCTGTGATAACACGATGCTCTCGACCGACGGTAAGTCACGTGATTAATGCGTCTGCACTCGGCACTAAATACCATAAGAATGTAAACGCGCATTGACATTTTAAAGTTGCGGTGAGGTGACGATGGTTGGATCTAATGGCTCTTTGCATTACCGTTGCGGACATGTAAGCAGCGTTGGTGTGCTCCATTCAAACTACGCAAGCCAGCCATGGCCTATTGATGAAAATAAAAAACAAGGCATTATATGCTGAACAAGCCCGAATTGACACCTTGAAAGCCCTCGTTCGCATTTTAGGCGTGGTCTGCGAAATCTGAAAACCAGACAACTTGTTTAAACTTGAAAATAAGTAAGATCTTTTTCCGCGGAAAATCCAGTAAGTGATGCGGTTTTACTGTCGAAAGCTTTCTATTTCAATGATAGGTCGTGATCGTTTACCAGATCATGTTTTCGATTGTTTCCAAAAGTGGACATTCGCTATTGACTTACCAGGCAATACGCGAAACAATTGGAAAGTTGTTGTATTCCGCTCCCAGCAAACGGCCTTCTGCCCACCTGAGTCCACGTGTGTTCAGGTGGGCAGAGCTCGCGTCTGTGTGGCAGTACGACCGCATACCGTTGTTTCAGCCATAATATTTCTGTACAGTGTTGTTACAACCCGCGACTGCTCAGTGAACAGTCACGAGAGTGCTGCAACATCCGTCAAACGCGACATGACTTCTGAAAAAACTTGTACAGACTTTGTCTATAAGCGGCATTTTTACTACTGTAAAAACTTATACACGACGTGAGTGTTACGTAAAAAATTGTTCATCAAAAACTCATGCGCGACGTGAGTCCTACACGTCCAGATACCTGCTTCAAAAATATAATTTATCTACGTCATTAAGCACACAGTCATTATACAGTCATTACATCTATTGCAAAAGCTTATAAAGTCTTGTCTTATGCGAAACATCACGTTTACTGCAAAATTCATGCACGACGTGAGCGCTGCACTACAAAGCTGCAAAAACTCATGCACGACGTGAGTGCTGCACTGCAAAGCTGCACAAACTTATGCTCGCTATTACCTATACAGCAAATACTTACCAGTCTTCACTTATACGCAAACCTCTATTGCGAAAACGCATACAAGATATGAGTACTACACGACAAAACTTATACTGCAATAACATATACCAGTCACTACTTCCACAGCAAATGCGTGACCACAAGTCCCTGCGGTAACAAGGCTTTTCAGTGGCAGTAATGCCGTGTAAAACCAATGGCTGCATAAGTATTTACTGTAGAAGTATCAACGGGCATAAGTTTTTGAAGCATAAGTTGTTTAGTGTAGCACTGATACCACGTAAGATTCTTTGCAGTAGAATTATATTCGAGTATAAGCAATGTCTGTACATGCTTTTGCAGCAGAAATCATGACGGACATAAATTTTTTAAGTATAAGTTTTGTCGTAAAGCACTAATGCCGCGTATAAGTGTTTTGCAGCAGAAGCACTGACGTGTATAAGTAATGGCTGCATAAATGTTTGGAGCATAAGTTGTGTTCCGTGGCACTAATGTTTTGTATAAATATTGGCAGTGGAAGGAACGCCGTGGCACTCCTGCCAGTGTGAGTTTTGTTGTAGCAATGTTGTCCTAGAAGCCAGCCACGCGCTTGTGGAATATATCTGCCGCGCGGAGGACCTTCAGCAGTAGCACGCAGCTACGCAGCCAAGGCATAACCAGCAACAGGTTGGCGGAGCCGACGTCCCTATGAATCGGACAGTGTTGGGCGGCGTGGGTGATTCGTAGACGGCACATGCACCTACGTCATGCAGTTGGCTGCATGGTCTGCTGAGATCTCCCTTAAAAACTGTAAAATCCCCAGAAACTGATGGATTTGTGGTTTTTGAACGAGCGCACGCGGATGTCCGCACGATATAACCCGCGCTTTTGGTAGTGTGGTTGTCCATTTTTTGCCGAGGAGTTAAAATATGCTGATTTCGTCTCGTTCAAACCTGTCGAATTTATGGCCTAAGGCAGTTTTGTGTCACTTTGCATCAAATGTATTTTCGACAACAAATGTATCAACGAACGGAATGACCGAAAACGAATGGAAAGCAGGGGAAGGTATAACATTGAAACAATATCGGTATGCTAATTAGCCAAAGATATGTATGCAAATGCATTTGTTAAATTTGATAAGTTTTCATTGGCCACAGTAAACAAATTTGCTATAAAAAACAAACACGACGCGGCTATGAACTGCCGCGGGCTATCAATCCGACACGTTTGAGCTGAAATGCTGGATAATGTGGCGGACGCTGTGCACCGCTTCTGGGTACCTTTGACCAAGTTACGTTCAAATCCGAGAGATGAGAGTGTAAGACGGCCTTTGATCTGTCCTGGAACGCGTGGTAACGACAATCCGACTTTGGAACTTTCCCCAATTGATGCTTCCGCAGCTTCGATCCCGTGGCCACACTGTATATTTAATTAGTTTCTGATGGCTCTCTGTTTGCGCTGAAGCTATGCATTCCAAGGAAATGAAATATCAAATTGCTCCGTCGGTGATAGTCATTAGTTTCTGCCTTGGCAACTTCAGTTTGGCTTTTATTCTGAACTCTCGAAAAGGCGGACAAAGCCGCTCCCTATTAGACCTAGTAAGGCCTCGGAGAGTAAAAGATTGAAATCCAAGCATCTAAAATCACTTGGAACGGTTCCAGGTCGGTCCATCAAACTTTCAGAGTCGATTAACACACGCTTGAATTGCCGGCTAAACGCGACACGCTCGGGTAGGGGCCCAAATGACCACCTTAAGACCAGACTGACTGACCACCAAGAATTATGAGCGCTGGAGCTGCAAAATTCACGAGGTAGGCAGGTTCATATGTGAACTCGCATGGCTTATATTTTCGGATCCCTAAGTCTTTACCTCCAGGAAAGCAAGGTCTAAAAAGACAAAATTCCAGATCGATGTCCGAAGTGCCTTAAGATCTGGTCGCGCAAGGACATGTGTCCCAGATACCTGATCTAATCAAAAGATCACTGGTTTGGCCATTAAAAGGTCACAGTGATCAGAAATATCCGAGATTATTTTGATGTTTTAATGCAAATGAGCATGAAGGATTACGGTGCTCGTTATGGGCCTAAACACGGGATTACGTTGCTCGGTACGGGCCTAAACACGGGATTCATTCAGCACGGGTTCATCTGGATCATTTTAGGTCAGTAGCCTCCTCTGGCTTTCCAGAAGCCGAAATACAATCTCTGTTGACGTCCCTGTGATGGACAATTTTGTTTTTATTACCCATAAATCAAGTGATCCTGCGAAAAGCTAGCTGGTTATTACCTTGGTCTGACCTTCGCAGTTGTCCCAAGGTCAGTGGTAAAATTGCCGTTCTAAACACAACTGGCTAGTAGAATGAGATACTATCTCAAACACTTCGTCAAACACTCCGTCGTCGCTTCAGGTTGAACGATTCCACAGGAACTGGCCTCACTGACAGTCATGGCTTACATTGACCTGTCATAGGTCAGCGACCTTACAAGGCACAGGAGGCTGCAGTTGGAGTAGTCTTGAGTAGGGTCCATCACATTTTGACCTTAAGCGTGCGTTAAATTGCGAATTGGGCAATAATTCAACATGTATTGGAAGCTCATGAGTGAGTAATTTCCATATATAAATCACTGAGCTTTCGGGCACTTGCTACATCGACATAAAACTGATTATGACACCCTGCGTCAGGACGGGTTATCAGGATATTGGAAATGTTTCCGTAAACACGGCCCTCCCGACCGGCGGGTAAGTCACGTGTTCACTACGCCCGCGCGCCACACTTAACAGCCTGAGGATTAGAACACGTATGACCATTTGGACGGTGTGGTGAGCTGAACTTGGCTGGGACAGCAAACAAACGTTCTTGAGCTTTGGAAATACACTGATCGGATTTTGAAAACTGCCCTTATTGATATAAATTAAAGTGCAGCAACAGCCTATCAAAACATCACTGAACAGCATGGAAACGTGCTGACGGGGGGGGGGGGGGGGCAGCCAAGGCCTTGGTAAGGGAGGAAGCAGGGGGGGGGGGGGGCGTAGAGTTGACAAAGGACCACCTGAAAGTGAAAGCCCCCTCAACCAAAATCTCCGGATATCACCCCCTGTATTTTGAGGACATGATTTTCTTTGTTTTAAACTTATTTTTACCATACCTAACCGGAACAAAGCCAGAGGCTCGAGGAAGACGCAATTCTGTTGATTGTATTTTAGGGTCCATTAACTGGAGGAGCGGGCTTTACGTGACTGCTTGTAATAATGCTTCCGGCGCTTTTTAAATAGCAATGGTTTAGCGGGCTCTTTCTAAATGGGTAGAAATCAGAGCCATTGCAATTTTTCTGGGTTCAACAAAGATATTGACGGTACCGTGGACGTGATGGTAAATTGCTATGGTACCACAAATTTGCATAAAATGGCCAGCCCATGTTCGTGTGGGAGTGTCCAACCTTCGTTCAGAATTGATGAGTTATAAAGATTTTGCAACATGGTCTTCAGCGTGAACGCTCGCAAGCCTTGCAAACAAAACAAAAAATGACATCCGGTGTTGCAGTCTCCATAGGCCGCGCAGCATCGAAACATTTGAACGCTTTAAGACGTCAGTGACTACGTTTGAAACGCAGTCAGGACCTTTATTTCACCTATGCCAATTCACATCGATAAGAGCCGTTTTCGCGATGGATTAGAACGCTGAAGTTTTTTATAATGAAAAAATTGTTAGACAGTGTTAACATATGTTTACCACCACAACAAACAAATCATTATTTTCAGTTTCATTGACAATCAATAGCTAAACCGCGTTTATCAAACTCAGAATTAGCTTATTGTACGCAACGAAACTCTGCAAATATCTTTTCTTTAGTTCCCTGCCATAACATATCCTGTGTTCACCCCCTACGTGCGCGTATTTTGACCCCTTGTTATGGTGTCGTATATTTGCCAGTTAGTCATAATGTTTACTCCATTTACACTCCCAGTTTCTACGCCCTTCTT